ATATATATATAATATATATATACATATATTATATTGTATTGTATTGTATTAAATTGTATTATATATTTTAAAAAAATAATTTCAAACATTTTATTGTATATTAAATATTTTACAAACGATTATATAAATGTTTTTTTCTAAACTTTTTCTTAAAATTTATCTTTTTATATAATAATGAGCGCAGCAATAAATATGTTACTTACCCACTCAATAACCTCATAATTTTGTAACAATGTATCGTATATATCAATAAAGATCGTAAAGACGAGTATAATTGGCTGTCGTCGTCTGATCTTCGAATTTTCTCTCAATGAACGTCGCTTCTGACTCGTATGCGTTACATAAGGCCAAAAATTTTCCTCCTAAAAAATTGAAGCGGCTCGTGAAAGTGACGCACAGTCCCGTCTTCTGCTATGGGTCCTCTGGTAGGTTAGGTATGGATTCAAAGTCCATCGTTTTCTTGACGATGGGAAGCCTTAGGAGGACGGGCTGCTGCAACACCTCCAGAAGGAGGTTAATTTGGCCGCCTTTTATTTTTTTTTTGGGCGGGGGAAGGTTTTCTAAAAGCAAATTACCAAATTACCTTACGTATATTAAACAGCTCTGGAGACTGAAGGTTTACAATAACCATTGACGTAGTTGCCGTTGGCAACACTACGCGGGGGGGGGGGGGGCAGTGTAGAGACGAGTCAAGTTATTAACTTTGAATTTTAACATCATAAAACATGTTTGATTTAGGATAAATCTTCGGGACTTTAGTCCGTAATTTGTTAAGTGTTAGAATTTAGTCATATGCGTATTTTTTTTTTGTTTACACTAGAGTTCTTACATTATTGTAGCATTTTGATTATAATGAAGTAAAAGAGAGATAAAGATTGTCTGTTAGGTTGTGTCTATGAGGCTGGAGGCCAGATACTTAGTGCTATCGTAACCCAATTTTGCAAAATGGTTGGTCTGGGGTATGGGACGCACATAGGCTGGTCGGGGTCGGTCCTATTACTCAAGAGAAGGTCGAGCCTAACTGTGACACAACCACCACCACCACAACATTGGTGAAAGGTTGCCAGCCGAGTCCCTTCATTTTTCTCTCGAAAACGATGACCGTGAATTCACTATGACATATTCTGAGAGTTACGGAGGGGAGAGAAAGAACAAATCCATAAGGGCCGGCATGAGGGTTCGAACCTACGTCCGGGTTAGTTAATTAGCTGGAAAGGTAAAGGGTTGAAGAGACGAGGATAGAGACTACACTTGGATAGCAAAATAGATGAGAGAGAACCCTCCCCCCCCCCACTCCCCCTAGTAATAATATAAGGCGACATTCAATTTAAGCAACAACCTATAACAGGCCAAATTAAACTGGAAGAAAATTCTGTTTTAGCACACTGTACTGGAAGAAAATCCTGTTTTAACACACTGTACTGGAAGATAATCCTGTTTTAGCACACTGTCTTAGAAGGCAATGAAAACAAATGCTAAAATACTTGACCGAAGGATCTCAGACTTACATGGGGTAGAAACATCAGTTTACCAGAAAGATCGCAAATGGGTCTGGTTACCTGGGAATCGTCCCGGGGGGGAAGGTCCTGGGGAAGAACCGGTCCATTTTAAACAATGAAACTGAATTATCCGCCTACACGCTACTCTTGGTTTTATCGACTCTCCGGTGAAGAGCGGAAGTCGGGGAGCGGGAAGAAATGTTTTCTCGGCATTCGGGGTTACAGCATGATGAATTGGTCAGGTCATCTCCATCTCGGGTTCCCATTTTGGGGAGCATGAGACCGCCAGGAGGCTGGACGCGAGGCATCAGTGATGCTGTGATGCTGTTGGGTTTCAGGCAAGTGGATGATGGAGCATTTCGTGGTGTCAGTGGTGCAAGGCATGATTCTTTGGTGCGCACATGAGGGGACTGTTGTTGAACTGTTGCTGGGTTGTTCTCTCGCGAGTGTGTGGGTGATTGAGGGATGTGTGTGTGTGTGTGTGTGTGTGTGTGTGTGTGTGTGTGTGTGTGTGTGTGTGTGTGTGTGTGTGTGTGTATACTCACCTATTTGTACTCAACTATTTGTGCTTGCGGGGGTTGAGATTTGACTCTTTGGTCCCGCCTCTCAACCGTCAATCAACTGGTGTACAGATTTCTGAGCCTACTGGGCTCTATCATATCTACATTTAAAACTTTGTATGGAGTCAGCTGTGTGTGTGTGTTTGTGTGTGTTTGTGTATGGCTACATGTATACACACAGAAACAAACACACGAGGGGTGACAAAAGGGGGAAGCGGGGGAGGAGGTTAATTCAAAACAGGTGTAGGTATCCTGTGTGCTCACAGAGGGCCATCAATAGGGGCCGCGAACCTCCGGGATATTGATGCGTGTAGCTGTGTTATTGCTCCAAAGTCCTGTCACTGTGGCTGTTGGTATTAACCGCCTGTCCACACAGAATGACCTATATATATATTGTTAGCTGAGAGTGCGTGCTTGTTTTTGCGCGTGTGTGTTGGGGGGGGGGGGGGTACTTGTTTGTGTGCTTGCGTGTCTGCTTTCCAAACTGTCTTCCAATACAGATATATATGGATTTCAACGGAATTTGGATAGCAGGAATCCATAGTTATCCAAGCTAGGTAGTCGCAGTCAAGGGGTTAAGAGTTTACATCGTCAGACTGACTGACCCACTGACAGACTGACCCCTGACAGACTGACCCCCTGACACATTGACCCCAACAAACTTACACGTGACAGACTGACTCCTGACAGACTGACCCCCTGACAGACTGACCCCCTGACAGACTGACCCGCTGACAGACTGACCCCCTGACAGACTGACCCCCTGACAGATTGACCCCCTGTCAGACTAACCCCCCTGGCAGACTGACCCCCTGACAGACTGACCCCCTGACAGACTGACCCCCTGACAGGCTGACCCCCCTGACAGACTGACCCCCCTGACAGACTGACCCCCCTGACAGACTGACCCCCCTGACAGATTGACCCCCTGACAGATTGACCCCCTGTCAGATTGACCCCCTGACAGACTGACCCCCTTGACAGATTGACCCCTTGACAGATTGACCCCCTGACAGATTGA